CGAAAGACTCGACCACAACCTCCATCCATACCAGTGCACCTGCCTCGCACACATTGTCAAGGTGAGTTAGATGCTGCTAAGACTGTTTGGGCTTCAGAACAGTGAGTATATATACACATTTATTAATTTTTCTATGTAGTGTTCCCTAGTTTATTTTGCACTTTTTAACATGTCCCATTGCTATGTTGATTGAGGTTGGTTGCACAACTGACTTTTTTAAGTTGAATTTGTTTCATTAGTTTTTGGTTTGGTAGATGGTATGTCAGATTGTTATAGAGTATGAATACAAGTATTTTCACTGTAAATGAATTGGATATGGATTTGCACTAGCTACCTGATGAGTTAGCCTTTTAGTATTATCACAGTTTAAGGTCAGGTTTTCAAGGAAAGAATATCACATTGCCTTTTGAAGATGTTTCATGTTCAACTTTGCCTCAACTTTTCCTTTCAAAGACTGAATCATGAAATATACTGTCAGTCTGAGAGAGGCTTTGATTATTTTCTCCATGAAAAACTGGCTTTTCAATTTTTCTGGTTTCATTTCTTTTAGTGTTCCCCCCCCCCTGCTCTTCAACTATAATCCTTTGAATTGAGCTGCATCTGTTCTCCCCCTTAGCTTTCAGTCCAGATGGTAGAAATAGTCTGGTGATCACTTTTTTTTTCCATTTTTTTTTTCATAAAGTACAATTTTTTTTGAGCTGACTTGACATATACCTTATAGCTTGCGTAGTGAACAGTAGTCATTCTAGAGAGATCAGAAGGGAAGTGTCTTTGTCAGCATGATCGACAGCCTCCTTCTATTAATCTGGACCTCCTCGTCACCTCCTTGCACCATCTGGCAGTCAACCTGAGGCTCCGTTTATTTGCTTTTTTTCAGCTCATATTCTCAGATTTCACAGCGTATGGCCTAGGCCACGAACAGACTGGGATTCAGGCCTACATGGTGGTGAGCCAGCGTGTGGAGGCCGAGCATCAGCGCCTGATTCGAAGCGGCAAACTCAAGGAATAAGTCAACCCTTCCCGTCGTCAAAACCATGTCCCGTGTTGTTGTCTTAGTCTTAGGATCTTTTCGTGGCAGGATGAGTGTTTAGATGCCTGAGCGCTGCAAACCAATGACTTTGGCAACCCGTTAATTTCCCTCCCACACAACAAAGTTGCCAAAACTCTTGTCGGACATTTCATAGATAATGCGACTTCACGTATATTCAAGATTATTCCTGACGTCCGGTTTCTGTCCAATACTTACCTATGCAAAGCAAGTTCTACAGACCATTATTAACATGTGATTTGCCTTGGCTGCCATATTTATTTGGTGCAGCTTTGGGACCATCACCAAGTAAAAGCTATATATCTATCTATATCTGTATATATATATACCAGTGTTTCTCTTTGACATGCAGGAGTTTAAGCACTCTTCCTATAGACAGAACTCACACTTCCCTTGATCTACGGGAGTCCTTCGAGCTACTGTGGAGAAGGTGGCTGCTGGTGACCTACTACACATGTGTTATTATATCTTCTAGAATCTTACCTCTAACACACAGTTTCGATGTTTATATTTTGCTGTGCTGTGTTTTATTCATTTATAAAGCTATGATTCTGATTCTGTAGTCATGGGATTTTGAAAAATAATGATAATAACTCTTGTTCTTAAGTAATCTCTTACTGTTGTGCATCTTAAAAGGGAGAATAATGAATGAGTTATTGAACAGTATATTATTTTACTAAGATATATCACCTATGTGGAAGTTTCGATACATAAGCTACATTGTACAGACTGATTTGGGAATAAGACAGAAAGAAAAAACAAATTATTTTCATAATCAGTAGAAATACACCAAACCTTAGAATACATTAATAATTTCTGTATGAATAACAAAGCGTTTGATAATCTAAAAAAGCCTAATCAAGAATCCCAATAACATTAAATTGATGATCTGAAATGTATTTATATATATTTTCCCTGCTTATAAAAAAAAGAATACTATGAGAGCACATGATACAAAAAAATCTCCCAGTTATAATTTCTGACTTCTTTTGTTTTATTTTTTTCGCTAACTCATTTCACTCCCTTCTTCATACTTTCTGTTAAAGGAAAATAGCCTTCTATTGTGTCACTGCATGTGCTTTGAATATGTACGTTCCTTTGCTCAAAATTTAATGTCCTAATTCTGTACATAAAAAGAAAAAATCAGTGTTTACTCCTCCACTTTTAACATAACCATGGCTTCTGGTGTATTCAACCCTACACTATAAACAATTACATTCATCTGTAATGAGTACAGTATTGATAATGTGTAATCAAAAAAGGATCAGTTAAATTTTCTGCTCTGCATTTCTATGGAGAAAAAAATATCAGTGAATAATTGTACCAAACATTTATGATGTATCAATGCCTAAGATGCATTTTGTCATTTTATTTCAACATTGCAGTATCAACTTAAAATATGAAAACAAGTTTCTTACATTATTTTTCTTGTTAGATTCATTATTCTTTGATTCTGTATGATATGAGATGCTGATTTTCAACCCATGGAAAATATATTTGCTTAGAATATATTTGTATATTCTGAATGAATTTGAAATAAGGCAAAGAAATTTGCTTGATCAAAAATTTGATAATAATCTTTTTCTTCTATTTCTATTTCTGTTTTCTTTCTTTTTTCCATTATGTAGGCTCTTTTAAAGTAATTATGAATTGATTGATGAATCAATTGATATGGGAGATAAATATGTTTTACTTATCTTTATTGACTATAGATATTCAGAATTAATGCAGTTTCGAATTAGGCTATTAAATATTATTTAAAGATGCAAGGATGAGATATTAATATATGTATGAGCCTTATAATAATGCAATCAGTAATCCATAAGTGAATGATATTAGCTTTTTGGTTTGCTCATATGAGTCTAAAAGTTTGGGTTGAAAATGAACAACAACTCACAGCTATAGACAGAGTTGGTTTTCTTTTGCTGTTAAGGCTATTGTATATTTAATTATGTTTTTCATCCATATTCTTTCATTTTCCAATTTCTTCTCTCTTTTCCTTCTTTTCAGAGATTCATCACTTTTAAATGAATTGTGGGAGACAGAAACATGTGCTTATTCTTATTAACATGGCAGTAAATGCATACTTTCAGAAATGAAAGTGTATGATTAATTCAGTCAAACCAAGAAAGGAGCCAGTGATATATAATAGATTGAAGAAGTTGAATTCCTGAAGATTCTTTATTATGCAGATTCTAGCAAAAAAATAGAATAGAGACAAATGTCTGTTTTTGTAAAAGATTCAGAATTATTACTTTATTTTATTGATAACTGGGAATACAATTAGTTTTATTCATTATAAGGAAATGCAGATAACTCTTTTAATTTGATAATTTTTAGTATCATACTTCTTTCAAAGAAGAATCATATGGCAAAGTAAAAACATTTAGAGTGTGTGTTGCAGTGTACTGGAGTACTCATTCATTAGATAAATAATGGTTTATAATATATTCTGCAGCAGTGCATTTTATGCTAAGGCTGAATCCTGACAGTTCCATTCAACATATTACACCCATAAGTAATATGTTGTGTTGTATTTTCTTTAATGAAAGTGAAAAAGAATGGTAACTGTAGATAGTTTCAGAAATCAGCCGTTAACTAAGCTATTGGTGGAGTGACAGTGATTAATTTTATCCTCAGCTGTTTATGAAAACTTCCAAACATGATAATATGATTTTATTTTTTTGGTCTTGTACAGGAAGTATCTTCCCATAATAAAAAATGCATGTTAATAAAATACACTTCGCATGAGAACCCTATAGTTTCCTTGAACACCACATGCTGTATAAGTTGTACATTGTTTGTATTGTACTTTTGTTATTGTATTTTGTATTGTTTGATCAGAAATATTACTTTATTTTATTGATAACTGGGAATACAATTAGTTTTATTCATTATAAGGAAATGCAGATAACTCTTTTAATTTGATAATTTTTAGTATCATACTTCTTTCAAAGAAGAATCATATGGCAAAGTAAAAACATTTAGAGTGTGTGTTGCAGTGTACTGGAGTACTCATTCATTAGATAAATAATGGTTTATAATATATTCTGCAGCAGTGCATTTTATGCTAAGGCTGAATCCTGACAGTTCCATTCAACATATTACACCCATAAGTAATATGTTGTGTTGTATTTTCTTTAATGAAAGTGAAAAAGAATGGTAACTGTAGATAGTTTCAGAAATCAGCCGTTAACTAAGCTATTGGTGGAGTGACAGTGATTAATTTTATCCTCAGCTGTTTATGAAAAACTTCCAAACATGATAATATGATTTTATTTTTTGGTCTTTTTTTATTGAATTGATTTTTGTTCACATTTCTGCACTGCAAACAAAACAAGTGCCATGTCATTTTGTGTAATGATGCATGCTCTCTCTTGGCATTAAACTGCATTTATCCTTCCATTTCTGACATTGTCATTTGCAACATGGTATGTACAGGAAGTATCTTCCCATAATAAAAAATGCATGTTAATAAAATACACTTCGCATGAGAACCCTATAGTTTCCTTGAACACCACATGCTGTATAAGTTGTACATTGTTTGTATTGTACTTTTGTTATTGTATTTTGTATTGTTTGATCAGAAATATTATTTTTTGTATTACCTATGAATTGAACTTCGGATTTCAATATGAAGATGTTGATTAGAATATGGAAATAAGAGCCTGATGCTTGTACATAGTTTGATAAGAAAAGAAAAAAAGATGACAAGGTGTGCCTATCTCTTTGCTTATTACTATTTTAAGTGATTCACTTTTTCTGCCTCTTTTCTCCAGCAGATGAGTGTGTATTCATAATCTACAAGAGAATAATCTTTTAGGATAATAAATCTTATTTGCATGTAGCTGTAACATATTTCTGATAATTATGATTTAATTGTCTATAAGTTGTAAGGATTTAACATACAGACTATTGAGAATGGGGGTAATGGCTAATTATAAATTTAAATGCAAAAAATATTCTCTCTGTCAGTTTACTTCCCTTTTCTTCGAATATAAGTTTCAAATACATATATAGCTTAATTTCACTTGAAGTAAAGAAGAATAGCAAGAGAAAAATGTGTATTGAACCTGTCACATTTTCTTTCCTTATGGCTATATTTTTTTTTTTATCTAAAGAAATATCCGGGCAAATAAAAAAATATATATATATATAATGATGGAAGAGAAGGAAACCACAAATATCATTGATAATAGTGACATCTACAATGCAACAAAAGACTTGTTTGGTATATGTTGTTAAATGTAGTAAATCCTCACTTAAAGAACTGTATTATGATTTTTTCCCCTGTGAGTTTTTCATTGCCCTTTATTAGATGTCTACCTATTCATGTGGTCCTTATGACAGTACCTCTCCCTAAAAAGGGGAAAAACGAATCATTAGTTGTTCCTCAATGGAGGGTAAGTTTTACAATTGAGGGTTTTAGTTTAAATACATGAGCTTTGAAGTGCATGATATATTATAAACTGAAGTTTATTTCATATGAAACATATGAAAGTAGTAAATGAAATCTATATTTATTTATTTATTTTTATTTTATTCAGGTGTTTCAGTTTAGAATGTTATGCATTTTAAGCACTTGATATTTAAACTGTTGACCTCATCCTGTCCTGTCCGATAATTGTCAAGCAGATATTTTATGTGAATTATAGGTTCATGTTTATAAAGTTAATTAGGTTAAAGATGTATTTTTTACAGTTTTGGAGTAAACCATTAAATAACATTCAAAACAAGATACTGTGCATTCTCAGACACACACACACACACACACACACACACACACACACACACACACACACACACACACACACACACACACACACACACACACACTTACACACTTACACACTTACACACTTACAAACACATACACACACACACACACCTACACCTAGACACACACACACACACCTACACCTAGACACACACACACACACCTACACCTAGACACACACACACACCTATACCTAGACACACACACACACACCTACACCTAGACACACACACACACCCCTGCACCTAGACACACACACACACACCTACACCTAGACACACACACACACACCTACACCTAGACACACACACACACCTATACCTAGACACACACACACACACACACCTACACCTAGACACACACACACACCCCTACACCTAGACACACACACACACACCTACGCCTAGACACACACACACCTACACCTAGACACACACACACACACCTACACCTAGACACACACACACACACACCTGCACCTAGACACACACACACACACACCTACACCTAGACACACACACACACACACACCTACACCTAGACACACACACACACACACACACACACACACACACACACACACACACACACACACACACACCTAGACACACCTACGCCTAGACACACACACACACACACACACCTACACCTAGACACACACCACACACACACACCTACACCTAGACACACACACACACACACCTACACCTAGACACACACACACACACACCTACACCTAGACACACACACACACACACCTACACCTAGACACACACACACACACACACCTACACGTAGACACACACACACACACACCTACACCTAGACACACACACACACACCTACAACACACACACACACCTACACCTAGACACACACACACACACCTACACCTAGACACACACACACCTACACCTAGACACACACACACACACACCTACACCTAGACACACACACACACACCTACACCTAGACACACACACACACACCTACACCTAGACATACACACACACACCTACACCTAGACACACACACATACACACACACACACACACACACACACACACACACACACACACACACACACACCTTCAAAAGTGATCCAGTTTTTGCCACTAGTGTAAAAGACCCATATTTTCTCATCATTATTGTTAACTTTATTATTATTAGATAGATAATTGAAAAGAAAACAAACCAAACCTTTGCAATAATAGACCTTTTATGTCTCTCTTACAACAACAGAAAATCTATACTGACTTCGAACTGCAAGGTGTAATGGAGGAGAAGCTGAACACCAAGACATACCAAACTATAAGCCAGCGTATGGCTACAGAGGAGGCAGCCTGTGCTCTCATGGAGGGTAGCCGACGCGCCGCAGGAGATGATGAGTGAGTGGTCCATCCTGTTATCTCTGGGGTTTCACATGCATGTACTTTCTGGGGGAGTCTGATATATGTGCTATGTGTTGTTGTTTTGAGGATGGGTACAAGGAGGGGGTTTTTGTGTCTGTTGGCTAGGGAGTTTCGTATACAGAAAGGATATGCGATAGAGACTAAAAGAAGAAAATATAGGGATTAAAAGCATCGGCTATAGGATTTGAAAAAGTGTTTTAACTTTGTTGTATATATGCCTTGTTTGTGGTAAAGTAGTAGTGAGTGGGATTAGGGGAAAATAAGGATGATAATAATGAGTTTATTTAACTTATAAGCTGTATTTTGCTTGGGTGCATTGTTCAGATGTGTATAAATCTGTGCAGTCTTTGATGTTCCTTTCCAACTTCACTGGTAGTAATATAATGCATGGATGTGTGTGGAATTGTGTCTATACTGTATTTTGCAGTGTTTGACCGTAAGTTGAAATAGGCAGTCATCATTTATGGAGTCCTTTTTTCACGATATGATAATATACCAGTTTGTTGATTTTTACTCATATATTTAATGCTTTCTTGTTAATGAAATTCATTCAAACTATTTAATGGCTTCTGGCTGTTCACAAATTAAAATGGATTTTTTTTTTCTTTTTTCAGTTTTGATTTTACAGAGTTTTGCATATGTACTGGCTTCAAACTATTCTGAAATTATAGACAAATTCCATTCTCTCTCTGATTTAGACATCATTTAAATTTAGCAAATACCTAGCAAAAACAGGAAAAAAAAACTTTTCACTCTTCACAATGTCCTCTTCAGGATATTCACTCTTCTTAACCTCTCTTTACCTACTATAACCTCATAGAATTGAATCAAGGTAAAACAAACTCTCCTATTATAAGAATCAGTGCTATTTATTACATGCTTAGCATAGTTTAGTAGATCTCAATGCTTGTTGCTAGTGCCAGCTTTAAAAGAGAAAGGAACACATGCAATATTAGATTTGCTGTGTCTAGCGATATTTTTTTCATTCATGTTAGTTCAAATATACATATATGAAAGCATGAATAGTTGTATATTTTACAAAGGATTTTGATGAAAAAGGAATTTGCTGGTATTTTTTGTAAATTAAATATAATGACATATTTAAGAATGTGTATTTTAATGGCATTTCATGTTAATAATACAGTAGACATAACAGGTGCTAATTTGGAATAGTTATCATAAGTAATCTTGAATGAAAGATTGAGAATGCTAAACTTCTATTTTCTCTTTGCCTTTGAAGAGACACTGTATAATAAAAGTTATATTACAAAGGAATTTACTCTTTATGACTTATAACATTGTCTTCTATTCTTTTGCTAATACTTGCCATTCATTATCTCTTGACAGCTGTTTGGGTGAACAAATATAAAATGCGAAAACAATACCTAGATGCCAACTAAAGTTTGTTTCACATTAGATTGTTTACATCTACAAGATAAAAAAAAAAATTAAGAGCTA